AAAAAAAAAAAAAAAAAAAAAAAAAAAAAAAAAAAAAAAAAAAAAAACCAATAATAATAATAATAGTAATATTAAATAAAATAAAATAAAAATAGATAGATAAATAAATAAACAAAATAAATTAATAATAATATGTAAAATATATAAATAAATAATATTAATAATAATAATAATTCTGTGAAATAACTTCACATCTATATTTCATCTAAATTCTCTCCATTAAATTTGTTTTTTTCAAGAAAATAATAATTTGATCTTTGACTTTACCAGCATCACTACTAAAGATATCATTAATTGTAAATTTTATATTCATTTTAGTTATTTCTTTTTGGAAATGTCTTCTTTCTAATTCATATCCACAACATTCCATAAAAACATGTTTTACTGTTTCAGGGAGATTACAGTTATCACATAACCCCGTGGCATGTTTTCCTATTACTTTAAGAGAGCTATTGAGACCCGTATGTCCTATTCTGATTCGGGTCATTATTGTTTCTACTTTTCTGTTTCTTCCCGTTTTCTTTGTGCCTCCTACCTTTTTCTGAATGTTATACAAATGTCGTCCTGTATCAATTATGTCCCAATTATCCTGCCATATATTCGTAACATATCTATTTATTATCATTTTACACTCAGATTTACTTAATGGAATTTCATAGTTTACATTTTTAGATTTTACTGCCTGTTTAGCAAGAATGTCTGCACCTTCATTGCCTTCCACTCCCACATGTGCTGGAACCCAAACAAAATCTACAGATATTTCCCTCAAGTGAAGTTTATATAGAATGTGGTAAACCCTGTCAATTAGGTCTTGTCTTTCTGATTTACTTGATTTGATGCTTAATAAGACTGCCATATTATCCGATGCAATGACATATTTTTGACCATTATATTTTTCAATCCATTCTAAACCCATGATTATAGCTAATAATTCTACTGTGTATACTGTCAAGTTGTTTGTTGTTCTTTTCTTCATCTCTATATTTAGATTTGGGATGTACACTGCTGCTCCTGTTTGTCCTGATTCTGGATCTTTTGATCCATCTGTAAATACTATAATTTTATCCATATGTTGTTTATGAAAGAATTGTTGCACTAAGAAGTTTTCTGAAATATTTTTCCCTTTATTTTTGATTAATTTATGTAATGATAAATCGACAGAAGGATAAATATATAACCAATGATGGATACACGATTGATTAACTGTTGGACTTAATTCTATTTCATGCAACCCTGCATAGTGAGCTTTGATATTACCTATCCAGCCAAAACTATAAATATTTGTTTTTTGATGTTCCCAACATTCCTGTAATATATTATGAACTGGGTGTGTTTGGTCATGTCCTTTAATATTAATCCAGTATAGTAACATTTGTTTCAATCTTCTTATTCGTAAAGGCATTTCCCCCATTTCAACTTGTAGAGCTGAAACTGGTGATGTTCTAAATGCTCCACTGCATATTCTGAGTACTTTTGATTGTTCTATATCCAGAAGTTTTAAATGAGTTTCTGCTGCTGCCATATAGCTAATGCTGCCATAGTCCATTGTTGATCTCATAAGTGATTGATATATATTTACTAATGCTTCCCTACTTGCTCCCCATTCCCTTCCTGTTAAACAACGCAATAAATTATTAACATTTTTACATTTTATTTTTATTTTTTCTATATGTTGCTTCCATGTAAGTTTTTCATCAAAAATCATGCCTAAAAATCTTATATCCTTAACCTGTTCAAGGTTTTGTCCATATAACTTTAAGGAGATAGACTTATGTTTTCTAGAGAAGCAGATAACTTGAGATTTTGTTGTTGAAAGTTTAAAACCCCAGTTATTGGACCATATTTCAACTTCATTGATTGCCTTTTGCATTTTATTTCTGAGATATTCTACATTACGACCACGAATCCATAAAGCTCCATCGTCCGCATATAAAGATTTACTGATTCCATGATCTATTTTATCAAATATGTCATTGATCATTATCAAGAATAATACTGGGCTACAAACACTACCTTGAGGAGTACCATTCTCCACAATATATTTACTTGAAAATTCCTTTCCCACTCGCACTTCTATTGTTCTTTCAAACAAAAAATTACTTATCCAATTAAATAGTTTTCCTTTTACCCCAAGTTTTTCCAGTTTTACTAATAAACCTTCTTTCCAAAGTGTATCATAAGCTTTTTCTATATCGAAAAAGACTGCAATAACTGATTCTTTGTTAGCTTGTGCTTTCCTTATCTCTGACTCGAGGCATAAAATAGAGTCCATTGTGTTTCTCCCTTTCCTGAATCCACTTTGATTTGGTGATAACAGATTATTAAATTCTAAATAACTATATAGCCTTTTAGTTATTATTTTTTCCATTGTTTTCCCCAATTGTGAATTCAAAGCAATGGGTCTATAGTTGGAAGGATTTGAAGGATCTTTACCTGGTTTTAATATTGGTATTATTATTGAATTTTTCCATGAAGTTGGTATTTTACCACTATCCCAAATTAAATTAAACAAAATTAATATTGCTTTAATAGAATTTTCACCCATATGTTTTAACATATCGTAACAAATATTGTCTTTTCCAGGAGATGATTGATTAGTATTACTAAGCGCTCTTTTAAATTCAAATAAAGTAATAGGTAGATCCATCGTCCCTCCATTGACAGTTTTTTTGTTATCTATATTTGGATGGTTTTTTAATATATTGCTCCTCAACTCCCTAACATTTGCTGAAATATTGTCAGAACTATGTATTTTAACCAGAGTTTTAACTAATAATTCTGCTTTATCTAGATCAGTTATTGCAACAGTGTTTTCATTTTTAATTATTGGGATTTCATATTTCCTAGTTATTCCATTCATCTTCTTTATCATCCCCCACACATCTGATAATTTAGTTTCTCTCCCTATGGTAGAGCAATATTTTTGCCAGTATTCTCTTTTTGCTTTTCTTATTGTTCTCCTAACAATTGCTTGTTTCCTTTTATAAAATATTAACTTTTCAATTGTATGCTGAACTTTTAGTTGTTTAAATGCTTTATTCCTTTCTTTAATAGCTTTTTTACAGTCCTCATCCCACCATGGAACATTCTTTTTAATTCTACTTCCTGTACTTTTAGGTATTGCTTTATTTGCATTCTGTATAAGTATTGTTGTTAATTTTTCATTAAATTCTTCAATATCTTTAATATCTTCTCTAATAATTTCTCCACATTTAATTTCAGTCAGATTTTGAAACTTGATCCAGTTTGCTTTATTAAATTGCCACCTAGGTACTCTAAATGTTTTTCCTTTAAGAACATCCAGTCCTATTTTAATGGTTATTGGATAATGATCACTACCAAGTGATGTTTTATTTATTACTTCCCACTGCGTAATTCCTGCAATGTTATTTGAGGTGACTGTTAAATCTATTGCTGTTTCTGTGTTCTTTGTAATATTATATCTGGTCCCTGTTCCATTATTTATGCACACCAGTCTGTTATCATCAATGAATTCCTCTACGTTTCTGCCATTTATGTCTGTGTGATCACTTCCCCAAAGATTATTGTGAGCATTAAAATCTCCACACCAAACAATTTTCCCCTGTTCCTGTCCTCTAACTATATTCAGTGTTTCAATAGTTAATTCTTTACATGGATTATAATAATTAATAATGATCATTTCATCCCTACCTGTCCATATTTTAATAGTAATGTATTCATGCTCTTTTCCTATATGGATTATACTGTAACCTATATTATTTTGTACAAGGATCATTATTCCTCCACCCCTTCCATTACCTCTATCTCTTCTAATGGCAGTGTACCCATGTAAAACAAAATCTAATTCTGGTTTTAACCAGGTTTCCTGAATACAGATGATATGTGGTTTTTCTTGTAGTTGTGATATGTAATGTTTAAAATCTTGACCATTTGAGATGAGACTTCTAGCGTTCCATTGAAATATGTTTATGACCATGTGGAAGTAGCACCTTCTGACTGAGTTGGTGTTACTCCTTTACCTATCATATTTTCTACAGCTTCCCAACCAAGGTCTTTAACATCTAGATATTTTTCTGCAGCCCTCACTATGATTTTAATCTTTTCAGTTTTCTTTACTGTCTGAGCTGAACAATTAATCACTTCCACCATAAACAGCACAAAATCCTTTTTGTTCACTATCATTGAATCATTAGGTATTTTAGAGCATCCATCACAAGTTTTTGGTTTTATATTTGGTGTCACTGTTGGTTTTGGCTTCTCTGGTTGATTTGGGATTCTTTTCACAGCTTCAGCATAAGTTATCCCTTGAGCGAGTTTCACTTTTTGGATTTCCTCTGCTCTTTTACTGTATTGACATCCACGGTAAGCAGAAGTGTGTTCTTCTCCACAGTTACAACATTTAATTTTTGCCTCTTTTTCACATTTCCCATATTCATGTTCACCTGCACATCTTCCACATCGTTGTTTTCCTTTACAGATTGCTGCTACATGTCCAAATTTCTGGCATTTAAAACACCTTAACGGAGGAGGAATGTATTGTTTCACATCATAGCTCATATAGCCTATGTAGACTTTACTTGGTAAACATTCACCTTCAAATTTAATCAAGACTGACAAGCTGTTACATCGTTCTCCATTTCTTGTTGTTTGCAGACGTTTAATTTCTTTCACTTTTGCTCCACGTATGTTTGCTTGAATTTCTTCATTTGAGATTTTTAAAGGGACTCCACTAATGACTCCTCTACCCATTTTTTTGTTTTCAACCAGACTGCTCTGAACTTTCTTTCCTTCCATTTTGTGAATCTTAATTGCCTTTCCTTGTTGAATGCTGTCTCTGCAATGAACAAAAAGTGCTCCGCTTCGTAAAACCTTAGCGCTAAGGACTTCACCTATTAGTTTATTTATTGTTTTGGTTAATTGTATTGGGTTCCATTCACCAAAAGATTCTCCCTCTTGATTTAATTTAATAATAACTTTATACTCATCTTTTGGTTTCTTAGTTACTAGTTCATTTTCCTCATCAATTTCTGGGTTAGAAATATCTTCAGCTGATGTCTGCTTTTTACGCTTTTTTCTGCTTTTTGAAGCAGCTAACTTACTCCAATCTTCTTCATTTCCGCCACTATTTTCTTCCATTTCATCAAACTCACTTCCTGATCCAGAACTTCCCTCTGCAACCTCCTGCCCATTCACAGCCCAGCCGCTGCCAACCGCCTTACCAAATTGCTGACTCATCTTTTCTCTCTCCGTCATCCATCCGCTCGAAAGCATCCGCCGTCTCAAGATCGGCCGCTCGGCTTTACTCGGAAACGTTCGGTAAGTTCCGCTAAACGAATCAACAGGCCCCGCCTTTTCCTCTGAAACTAACCAATAGCGTTCAAGTTCTGAAGCAGCGCAACATTCGGCTTCCTGTCTGCCCACCTTTGTTTTACGATATTTATAATTTACTTCCAAAGATGTCATTTTTAAAAATAATTCCGTGAAAATTCACAGTTGTTATCGGCTCCGTTTCTTTATATATTTGAGCTGTTTTGTAGAAAGCGCGCCGAGGGCTTGATGGAAGCGCGCTAACGGCAGCGGGCTTGCTAACTGTGGCTAGCAGCTAGCTTTGTGTTGTTTTGTGATTCAACGGAAAAGAAGCTTCACAGAAATGACGTCAGCCTCTGCCAAGGTAACCCTCACCTGCTGGAACAGTTTCATGCGCTCCAGTCCGGACTGAGCGTCCGCTTTGAGCTTAGTGCGCAGCCGCAGAACTCCATTCAGAAAACTTTCATTTTAATTTGTCTCGTCCTGTAGTTTAAAGAAAATCTACAAACAAAACTTTGTGTTTTACTTCTAAATCAGGACAGTCTGGAGATTAATTCTGATTATTTGTGTTTTACATCTCTCCTTTTGATTGTTCGTTTTTTTGTTCATAGCTCAAAATATTTAACTGCTACCAGCTGTTCAAGTGTTTTTATTTTATTTATTTCTTCTTTCGGCTGCTCCTTCTTCAGGGCCACAGCGAAGACTTGTCATTATTTTTACTCCAGATGTTCTTCCTGACTCAACCACAGACACCGAGCTACCACCAGATGTTTTAAGTTATTTTATGACCGAAGCTTGACTTCAAGTTTTAAAGCTTCCCTTGTTACCATGGTAACAGGAGGACAGTGAGAGTCTCCCAGTCTCAGGTGATTCAGTTCTGTTGGACTCTGAAACAGCGTAACAGAAACAAACTCTGAACTCTGATCTTTTTAAATAAAACTTACGAACACATCTGGTTACATTCTTTTTTTAAATATGCAACATCCTCTTGTTCTGGACTCGGGTCTCGGGGGCAGCATCTTGAGCAGGGACGTCCAGACATCTCTTTCCTCTTCCAGTTCTTCTGGGAGGACTCCAAGGAGTTCCCAGGACACACTGGAGAGACATCGTCTCTCCAGTGTGTCCTGGGTCTCGTCCATCACAGGGACACATGAGACAAACAACCATTCACTCTCTCTCTCTCACTTGGGGGCAATTTAGAGTTACCAGTCGGTCTAACATGCATGTTACTGGTCTGTGGGAGGAAACCCACGCAGCACGAGAGAACATGCAAACTGCACCCAGAAAAGCCCCGGTCGGGATTTGAACCAGGGTAACCTGCTCGCTGCGAGGCAGAAGCTCTACTGCTGCACCACCGTGCTGCGGAGTTGCAACATTCAAAACTAAAAATATTTCCAGACATTTCAGTCTGACGGGTCATCGTGGGACAGACCAACCAGCTGCTTCTTGTTCCGTGTAGACAGTCCGTCCAGAGCACGGTGCGGGCCAGCAGCCGGGTCAGAACCTGCTCTGACTCTGAACCTCTTCTCTGCAGGTGGGGGAGATCTTCTCTGCAGCTGGAGCTGCTTTCACCAAGCTGGGGGAGCTGACCATGCAGCTGCACCCGGTGTCCGACTCCAGCCCCGCAGGGTAAGACGCACAAACAAACACGCTCTGACCAGAACCACACCTCCGGGTCAGAACACGACGGGCTGAACCTTCAGAGAGGACTCGCAGGGTCCAGCCAGGCCGTCGTTCAACACAAACACTTCAGAAGGGATTGATTTCAACAGATTTTACTACTACTATTATTATTATTATTATTATTATTATTATTACTATTATTACTATTATTATTATTATTATTATTATTATTATTATTACTATTATTATTGTTATTACTATTATTATTACTATTATTATTATTATTACTATTATTATTACTATTATTATTATTATTATTATTACTATTATTATTGTTATTATTATTATTATTATTATTACTATTATTATTGTTATTATTATTACTATTATTATTATTATTACTATTATTATTGTTATTACTATTATTATTATTATTACTATTATTATTATTACTATTATTATTATTATTACTATTATTATTGTTATTACTATTATTATTATTATTACTATTATTATTATTATTACTATTATTATTATTGTTGTTATTATTATTACTATTATTATTATTGTTATTATTAC